CTTGTTTCATTCTTTCACAAACAGACTCAAAACTCTAAACTTTATTAAAGTTTCAATTTCAATAACCTATAAAAGGCGATTTTTTGGCACTTCTTCGTTCTTCAAAAGGTACCTTTTGAATTTTCTTTAATATAGAACATGAAATTAAGAATGTAGGACCCGGGATAAGTGATAAGGATTTTTAGGTACTTTTTCGTTCTTCAAAAGGTTATTTTTGAATTGTCTTTAATATTGAACCTAGAAACATGAAATTAAGAAGTGATAACTTATAAAAGGAGAAACATGAAATTAAGAATGTAGGGCTCGGAGTAAGTGAGAAAATTTAAAAGGCGATTTTTTGGTACTTTTTCATTCTTCAAAAGGTGCTTTTTGGATTTTTTTTAATATTTTACAATATATCCTAAAAACATTAAACTAAGCATGTTGGGCCCGGAGTAGATGATAACCTATAAAAGGGATTTCTTTGGTACTTTTTGAATTTTCTATAATATTGAACCTAACATTCACCTTCGTGAGAAGGGTATATGTATATAAGTTTGTCATTCCATTTGTAATTTCCGCAATATAATTTTCCGACCCTATAAAGTATATACATATAGGGTGGTTTTAAAAAATCGATGACGGATTTCTTTAGGAGGCACCCCACTAAAATGTTTCATTTTGTTAGATTTTAAGATTGCCAAAGTTTGAGCACTATTGAAAGATGCTAACACGTGCAACTTGATCCCCAAAAATTTTAAAATCTAAATTTGTTTGGCGAGTTTTCCGACCCATATCTCTAGACCGGTTTAACATATTTGTCCGTGTAATACATCAAATTGAAGCCGATACTATTTATAATATTTTATGTGCAAAAATACGTAAGTAGCACAATGAGACTGTTCAAGTTTGCCAATCTAAATGGCCGCTCAGATTTACAAGCGTTGTGCAAATCAATTCTCATATAATTCAATTGCGAGAATGGAAACATGCACAAATCGCACAGTTTGCGAGGGTTTTGAACGTTTAAATGAAGACACTTAATATCTTTTTCATTTTATTCTTATTTAGATTTATTCAAGTGACTGACATAATGTGGTTTTTGTTGCTTGTCCTATATATGTAAGTAATTGGTTATAATCTGCTATGAGCTAGCTTGACTCCTCGCTCTGCCATGTCGTTCCAGAAATTCGGTGTTAATATTAAATCTCTTGAACAACAGATAAGTCTCACTTGTAATTAAGGCTGGGAGACCTTTTTCTAAGAATTTCGGCAGTTTTTCGTTTTTTTAGTTTGGGTCGCATATTTCTAGAGCACTTCTTATTTTCTTCTGCTTGATTTGTTAAGATTTTTGTCGCCATTTGGCTCCTTACGGTGTTTTGCACTGCCGGGTCAAACAATGCCAGGGCAACAAGTTTACTACAAGTGATTTATCATTTTGTTAATCCCTTTTTTCTAAAATATTTTTGTCTATGCTTTCGTATTTCAATAGATTTTCAATGAAGTCTAGGTATTGTTTTGCCCCTAAACACGTTCTGGGGCGTTGAACCTGACTTTACAGTAGTCTCTTGGGAAGTCAGCATAAACTGGACACGGAAGAGTTGTATTTTCAGACAGTAAATAGGTTTTGTCATCCATCGACCATGGTGTAGTGGACCTAACATCTGCTCAAAGAGATAGCACGCTTAATTGAGTATTTGATGCAGTTGTAGCGAAGCACATAACCACGACCGACTGGAGACCCCATTCCTCTAGATATTCGTACACTGATAGGGCTTTTTCCTCCCTTGTTCTTTAGTCCCATGTGATACAAGATACCTGGTAGTAGTTTTTCATTCCAGTGCCCGCAATATACCAATACAGTTTGGTTTTACCTGCTTGGGGTCGCAGTGACATTGTTGTGGGTCTGAAATTAACAGTATACCATAGCAAATATATTGCAATGAAATGAGATTCCAAAGTTAAAGTATTTGTCCATAATAAGCAATAATAATATAAATAACGCATCTTCGCTCTCAGGGGTACTTGGTCACGTTTTTAGGGACATAAGCTTTTTTATTCGGTTTCAGTACTAGTTGCGGATTTATTGCGTAGAATATAAAATATAAACAGTATGGCCTGTAATTTGATGTATGACTCGGGCAAATAGCTTTAGTAGTTACAGAGAGCCAAAATATGGAGATTTTTAAAACTTTGAGGCCCCGGAGGCACGGTTTAACATCTTCCAATTGTGCTCAAACTTTGGCAATCCTAAAATCTGACAGAGAGAAACATTTAAAATTCAGACATTTTTTTACTCTATGAGATAAAAATCAACCTAGTATATTTATTCTGAATTATTATAGATGGCGGAATCGATTAAGCCATGTCCGCCTGTCTGTTTAAATCAATTTTCTGAAGATACCAGATATCTACGGGATCCAAATATTCAATAATTCTATCAGACATGCTTTCGAGAAATTCGAATTGAACAAAATAAAATAACACTTTTTTTTATATTTTTTTATTAAGAAAAATAAGTAATTTTTATTCAAAAAATTTGTATAAAGCACAAGAGTGTTTCATGTTTAACTTTTTTAAATATTTTCGTTTTTATTTGTAAAAATATATATGTATAAAAATGGAAGCATAGTTCGTTTTTTTTTTGTGTTTTTTGTTTTGTATTTAAATAGCATAGTAACTGGCTTAACTGGCATTTACTATGTAAAAAATAAGAATAATAATAATAATTAAGAATTATTATAATAAAAAAAATAAAAGGGGGAAGACACTAAATCCATTTAAATAATTAAAAATAATTTGTAAAAATAAAAACAAAATATTCAATTAAACCAATCAAATCAAATTAAATTACATATAAATAGTTAATAATAATAAAAAATTAAATAAAATATAATAAAATAAAACATTATTAAGGCACTTGAGAATTTTTCAATGACAATTGGATTTTACTTTCTTACTTATTTCAATTGTTTTTTTTTTTTTGTTTTTTTTATATATTTTTTTAATTAAATAATACAAGAAAAAATAATAAATATTACTACTAATGTAAATATGTAATAATAATAAGAGAAAAAAAGAAATGTTTGTGTAGTAAGTAATAGCAGATGTAATTGAGAGAAAAAAAGTAAACATAAAAACTTTTTCATAGTTTATTATAATTTCAATGTAAGTAAACAAATTAAAGTTATTCTCATGTTCTTTTCAGTAATTCCTTGAATTTTAAATAAAATAAAAAAATAATTGCCTATACAGGATATACAATGTGCACACAACATACCAACTACAGTATGTTTGTATAATCATCATATAATTGTATAGTTTTTATATATTTATAAATAAAAATAAAATAAAAAAAATTAAATAATTGCCATTGTATTATATTCTACATTTTTATGTTTGTATATAAATATTTATAAATGTATGTTGTTTGTATGTATATATTAAGTTTAGTATAAAAAATAAAATTATGTTTTCTTTAACGAGTTATAATCAATAATTTAATTATGTTTAGCAAATAATTTAAAATATAAATTAAGAGTTGGTTTTGTTTTAAGATTTCACATTATTTTCAATTTCTTTCATTTGTTTAAGTTGTTTTTTATTTATTTATTTATTGTTTTGTTTATTTAAATATAATTTTATACACATTTACATTGAATTAAATTTATATAACTTAAATATTTATAAAAGATCTGCACGCACCTAAATAAATCTCGTTTCTAACATGTCAAATTTGTTTTTAATTAAATTATCAAGTCATTGTTGCAATATTTTATTTATATGTTTAATAAGCATAAAAAACTCTAATAGATAATAATTAAATTGTATTTGAATTGTTGTAACATGTTGTCTCAGAGGTATTTTATAGAAACAATATATTTATATAAATCAAATTTATATATATTATTAATCTATAACAAATATGCTTTTCTCAAAAACAATACATTTTACACATAAGAGATTGAAAATTATACTTCATTTACCAGGCACAAATGGTGGAAAATAAAATAAGTCGCCATTTTTTAAACAATAGACAAAGGTATCGTCTGATTTTAGAAAATAGTTTTTACAAAATGTTTAACCAAACTTTAATAGAAATAAAATATCCAATTTTTTATTACTATTTAAATTAATTGGGCAATTGTTAAAGCTTTTAAAAATAACTATTATTCATAAACAATTAATTTTTTTTTTAATTTCTTAGACGACTGTTATAAGTAAATGAAATAAACATTTATGTGTTGAATGATGTATTTGTAACAACATATTTTAAGGTGTTTTTGTCTTTAAATGTCTTTTGTTTTTTACTAATTTTGTTTAAATTGTATAATTAAATTATTAAAATAAATAAAATATTAATTTTAATAAATGCAAAATAATAAAAAAATTAAAGTGTTTTTTACATCAATTAGATTATAAAGCAACCCAGCCAAAAAATACAATAAGAATAATAATTTACATAGTTTTTTTGTTTGTTTTTAAATAAAATAAAAAATAAAATTTTCAAATAGTTTTTTTCGAAATGTCGCATCCATTTATAAATGGATAGTAATAGTAATAAAAATAAAAATTAAATAATATACATATAATAATAATAAAGGTTTACATATAGTATGTATAATAATAATAAAAATATAAATATTAATAATAGTTTTTTGTTGTTTTAAATCTGGTTTTGTGTATGTAGTTTTTTTTTGTTGTTTTTAAATAAAGTTATTTATAAAATATAATATAATTATTTATTTTTAAAAATGTCTTTAGTTTCATTTCCTTTTAAATTTGTTTATATAAAAAATATATATAAAAAGGTGTTTTTTGTTTAATTTAAATAATTTAGTATTTTTGTAATTGTTTTGTTGTCTTTAAATAAATGTTTGTTTGTAAGTATATTAGGTAGAATAACAATTAAATAGATAGAAAAGAAATATACGTACATACACTTGGTGGTATGTATTTATACATAGAAAGATATATGATAAAATATAATGATAAAGAGAAAAAACTAGAATTTTATTTTGTTTTCAGTTAAATATTGTGAATATTGAGATTTTGTTGTTGTTGGTTGATGTTGTTGTGTATACGATTTTTTTTTTTTTCATTTTAATTTGCCATTTTTTTTAACGTAAGCGTCAACGCTTTGCTCACTTTTACTCACAATTACTCGTTGGCGCAGTTCTTTTCTGCTAGATCAGACGTAATACGGCTCCACTGCACCACACTGCACCGCCTTACATACCCAGTTACATAGCGTGACTTTGTTTACGTTTAGTCAATTGAAAATTAAAAATAAAAAAATAATAATAAATGAAAATAAAAATAATTAAAAATCTACTTCTAACAGAGAATTTATAAAGCTACATGCGAGAATGCGTCTGCAGTGGAGTTGCTACTAATGCGATTGAACACAGGTAAACGTGCCTCTTCGGCTGTCACAGCACCATTTAATGATGACACAGAGTTAACTTTGATTGGAGGCTTACTGGTGTTGGTGGCGTTGCTACCGCTGCGTGTTATAGCGATGGGAGAACTAGAACTTTTTTGCAATAATTGCTTAGCTGGAGGTTGTGGAGTAACGCCAATGGTATTGGCAACAACTGGTTTAATGTATACTGGTGTCTGACCGAGCATTAAAGTGGGTGGTGGTGTGTTCACTGGCGACATGGGAGCATTGGGGCTTTCGGGTGGTGTATTTACATAAGTGAAAGCTGTTTGAAACACTGAATTAGCTGGACTAATTTGTTCACCGAATGGAAAATTTGTCATGGAACTTGTGGGTGATAGTGACAAAGAGCCAGTTGGTGATTCGCGATCTGAACCAGTTGACATACTTAAGGGGGGACTAAGTGGTAGGGAATGATTGATTGTGCCACCGCCACCAATACCGCCAACGCTACCATTGAGACTAGATTTTGCGCTCAATGGATAATAATTGGAATGATTCTGTAATTTAGTTTGTTGCTGAATCTGTTGCTGTTGTTGCTGCTGCTGTTGTTGTTGCTGCTGCTGCTGTTGTAGAGCACGTGCTTCATCGGCATTGTGCACAAAATGACAACGTGGTCCATAAGGGCAAAAGCCTACACTATGGAATGTACGACAATATTCAGTTTTGTACTTGGGATGTCTTTGCAAATTACGCAATTCATGATAGCCATGGGCAAATTGACACTTTTCACCGTACTTGCATTCGCCTGCTTCTTCAAAGGGGCGACAAAGTTCCGTTTTATACCTTTAAAATTTGAATAAAAAGAAATAAAGTTATAAAAAGAAAGAATAAAATTAAGTCAAATTTCTATACTATGATGTATTGTGATTAATTTTAATTTTCATGCTTGTAACCTAGCGATCTATAGGAGAGAATAAATGGGGTTTTAAATATGTATGTTAATCACCATTTTCGGTTCATTTAAGTGAAACTTTAGCGAATATTTCGTGAACTATTCATTAACAATACATTTTTTTCAACAAATTGTGGTTGCTTTTGTATTTCCTAAGGGTTCTTAAGAATTATCCTGGTATCTTTAAAAGTCTTTTTATATTTAAGGAATATTCCGTTATAACAACTTTTTTTATTTTTCATACTGAATGTTGAACAATTCAAAAATTTCACGGAATAAATTGTATTAATTTCATAATAGAATTTGAACACACAACCCGTAGTATGATTTTTGTTCAAAGTTGTCACCTTATGGAGGCAATAAGTGTTCTATGAATCTGATCTAGAACCAGTTCTTTAATCAATGGCTTTGGTTAGAATTTGTCACCCTCGAAACTAGTTCTAGGGAAACTTTAAAGAATAAATAGGTACATCTTCTTTAGAACAACATACCAATAACACTCAATAACTGACTGACAAATAAAAATCTTTTAGGGTTAAGAAAGAAATGTCGATTTAAAAACCCCAATTATAAAAATTAGTTTTTGTTGTTGTAACAGTTCGACTGTAGCCGACAGTTAAAAAGGATGCATTTATGAATTTTATTAATATATTATCATTTACCTTGAAGTGTTGACTTGCTGCTGAGGCAATGGTTCGGATTGAGTTCTTTCTAGTTTTCGATGTAAATTAATATTACCCAAATTTTCGATAAGTGTATTTACAAGTGTGGCCTCTAATGTGTTGGCCTGTTGAGTTGGCGATTGTTGTTGCGGCTGCTGCTGATGGGAATGCAGTTGATTGAGATGAAGTTGTTTCAACTGTGGCTGCGGTGTCGAAATTGTACGTGTTAATGCTGCATGAAAACGAATTTGATGATTAAGTGTTTTATTTTGATTCTGTTGTTGAATTTGCTGCTCCATCTGATCCATTTTATCCATTTGATCCATTGAAGAATTGTTTGAACAATTAATGTCCATTAAGCTTAGTTCAGTCATTGAATTGCCAATATCGATATGACCATTTGATAAATTATTAGTATTTTGATGTAAGTTTTCGGTGGCTTTGTTCTAAAATGACAAAAAAAGAAAAATTAAATTATCTCAAATATTTAAAACATTTATAAAGTTTGTTAAAATTTATACTGAAACTCTTTCTTTTGTTACAATTAATTGCCAAATATTTACTTCACACTAATTGGAATGTTGCAAAAATAAAATTAAAACACCAAGCAACTTTTAATACTAGTTTGTCTGTAAGTATGTTGAATATATGTAATCCAAGGTAAACGATGAAAGCGAAACAACAAAAAATTATAATGCTCCCAATAGCAAGACTTAATAAAATAACAAATATCACAGAGAGTGATACTTACATACATACATACATATAAAAGACGAGATTGAGAGAGAAGGAAAACCACCATATGAAAAACTGTCACGAAAATACGAGTGCGTAACCAACAAAACACATTATTTTCATGTGGTGCGAATAAAATAAGAAACAAAATATGAAAACAAGAAGAAGAAAACAAGACTTCTTAAAAACATTATAGACTAACAAACATACATTCCTATGTACTTAAAGGTAGACTGATAAACGAATGGACAAAAACCTTCAATAGTCATGTCTTATATTCCCAAAAAAAACTAAACCACTAATTCTTTATAATTACCTGTTGCTGTTGTAGTCACTTCTTTGCTCACCACCATTCGTTTATGTCTGATTGTCAAACTGACAGATTGTCTGCCTATAGGTTTGTAAGTCTGATTGTCTGTTTAACTTACTTGTTTGTGTCTTTCGATGCTGTAATAATGTTATGCAACATAACAATTATGTATAGAGCTCAAGTTCAAACCACCAATACATTCACCAACAAACAAATCTACGTAAAAACCCGTCTATCAAAGCCAACAACAAAGAAAAACACGCACATAACACAAACATTCATTACCTTCTGCTTCTTCCTCTTCTTCTTCTTGTTTCACACAAAAGAGCTAAAAGGCAAAGTTGCCGAACAAATAACAACAAAAATTACACACAAACACACTACATACCGTCATCATCATCTCTCATCATCCGTAAATGGATAAACGACGACAACAATAATAATAAATAAAAAATAAAGTAAAGTAAAAAAAAAATAGCCGAATAAAAACAAAACTAAAAAATAAACACCGTCAATGTTCAACAATTTTTGTATTTCAGCATGCGAATGCACGGACAAATTTTTTCGCTTTAAGCCAAGACAAACGAACAGAGAGCTCTGCTGATAATGTTTAAGCAAATCCGGTAATGTACAATACCATATAATATCTCCTCAAGCAACTTGATAAAAAACAACAACTAAACTTTATAACAAACTGATGTGGTGGATGGTTGGTAGGAGCTTAAACACTCTCATAATTTCAAGATTCAAACAAAGAAACATTGCAAGAGTTGCCAAACAAAGAAAAATAACAAGAAGTTTTAAGCTATCTATGTCATAACATGCCTACTCCTGTAGCCTATTACAATTAATAAGAGAAACTGGTAATTTCGGACCTAATTCGTAACAATATTATTGTATGCGGCTTAAATCTAGTTTATCAATGTATGATCCAAATTCGTGTGTAAAAAATATTGTCGGCGGTCCATGGTTTCGGAGTTATGGCATTTCAAATATTGGAAGAGTACATTTAAACGGTAACCCTAAGAATCTTGATGTACAGAAAAACTGTTCTTAGCGGAGCTCACCGGCCAAAGGCCGGCTATACGAAAACAATTTTTAACTTATACGTAATGGTAACCCCAAAAATTTTGGGACACAAAATAGGAAGCCAGTGTTGAATATCTCAGAGAATGAAAATCTTTGCGCCCGTTACACAGAGAATATGATATTAATAAAAATATCAGCAAGCTCTATATAAATTCCATATGAAAAATAGTTATGAACCCGTAACTCGTAAAATACCAATTTTTTATTTTATATTTTTTGTTCTAAATTACATTTTCTTCCCCTTAAAAATATTTTTAGGTGTTTTTCTTAAACTTGGGTAAACTTGTTCCTTCTTTCCGTATTCATCTGATTTGATAAATTATTATTATGGTAAAAATTAAATTGTTATCACGATAAAAAATTAGCGGGATAAAAAAACAATTTACAATTGTTCTACCAAAAAATTGTTCTAAAAGTTTTCCACACTGGAAAACTTTTGTTGACTTTTGAAGTTTCCTTGATGTCTACACATAGAAACTTTTGTTTCAGAAACTACGTATTAATTGCATTGATTTGTTTTTGTACGAATGAGAAGAATAGCAAAACAAAACAAGTTTCCGAGTACGAGAAACTCCGTACCGCGAGGGAGATGAATAATATTCCTTTCTCTTTACGCAAAATCAAAAGTTTCCCAAAAAAGTTGTCTAGATTCGACGGGCACTAACTGATGTGATAAATATAATAAGAGTTTACGAGAATTGGGACTTCAAAGTTGCAATTTTTACATATAAAACGGCAACACTAAAAATCTTGATGTACTACAAAAAAGCATTTTAAGCGAAGCCGGTATTAAATACAACTCAAAGGAGAATGTCATTGCGCTCCGCCAAAGGCCGCCTACCCAAAAAACACAATATTAAATTAAAAAACTTTTTTGAGGAGTTACGAGATCTTGATGATTTTTTTTTTATCAATTTAACTAATTAGAGCAATTAATAAAATTATATTCTCTGAAGTATATTCAACACCAGCATCGTTAAAAATATCTTTCTGCATCATAAAATATTTGGGCCTACCATTATGTGGGGTTACCGTTTTATATGTACTTTTCCAATATTTGTTATGAGGTTATTCCGAAACCAGGGGCCACCGTCAAAACAATGTTTTTTTAAACAAATATTTTTTAAACTTTAATTTAGATCAATATATTTAAATAATTATATGTATTCTTAAAAGAATTAGATTCAGTTTCATTCAACAAGATTCCCTGTTATTTTGATCAGAGTGAATTTTTTTTATAATTTTGTGATTATTTAAGTTATAAAAAGCTTTTTATTTTTTAATTTTATAAATGTTTATTTTAGCACGTCCAGTTAATTCGTTTATTTTATTTGACAGAATTTAGACAAAAAAATTCTGATTAAAATTTGTACACATTGGTAATCATTTTTATTTTGTTTTAAAAACTGAATATTGCCGTTATATCCAGTATCGCACAAAACAAAAATAATAAAATTTTGTTTTGTGATATTTTTTTTTTTTTTAATAAAACCAAATCAAAATCATTCGAAAAATCAGAAAAAAAATAATTCTTTTCGAATGGTATGAACATTTTACAGTTTATAATAATAAAATATTAAATGAAAATTATATAGATTTATAAAAAAGGACTAACAGATCAATATTTTTAAGGAACTGTACTCATATATCATACAATCAATGTTGATAAAGATCAATTCTGATATTTTTCCATTTTTGAAGCAAAATGGCGAAACTTTTACATGTTTTTTCTACAGTTTCGTTACTCGCACAGAAGGAAGTATTTATAAATATTTTTATAAAAATCACTTTATTTTATTTATTGATGGTTTTTGGTTTTTATACATATAAAAAATATAATTCGGGAATTTTATATTAAAACCAGTTAATGTTGTCAACGCATATTTTTTAATTTTATATCACAAAGATCACAACTTTTCACACAAGTCCTTTAAAATAAATGCTTTTTTGTTTTTATTATTTTTTTATAATTTTCTTTCTTTTTCTGTGTAAATTTTGATTTCTTATTACATTAAGTTTTTGTATTTTTCATCATTAATTTTCAAAAAGTACCGTTTAAAAATTAGCAATATTTTAATAAAAAAACTTTAGTTCAATATTTTACATTTGGAATTATTTTTTACATTATCGTAAAATTATTATTGTTTTTATATATTTTTAATAAAGTTTATTTTTTATTTTAATATTTTTTATACAATTATACTGTTTCTGCATAAATATTTTATTTTAAACACAGTTTAGGATTTGTATTATTTTTTAACAATATCTTATTAAAATCATTTATTACCATATATTTATTTTTATCTTTAAATAAATTAAATTATTGGATATTATGTTTTAATTATTTTTGTTAAAACAAGGTTTTAATTTTTTAAGAAAAAATATTTTAAACTTTTAACACTCTGATATTTTGAACAGTTAGCTGAGTATAATGCAAACATTTTTCTTATCTTTCATATTTAAATATATATATATTTTAATTATTAAAACACGACTCAGTATTAAATAATTTATAAAAATATCTCATTTTTATTATTATTTTGTTTAATAAGTGTAACAAACCACGAAATATTTTATAAACTCACGTTAAGACGTTATTTGTAGCGTGAGGGAGGACGACCTCTCCAAACCAAATCTCAATGTAAACTAAATAAGTAAAATCAAAAGCGAATGAAACAAACACGTGTTGAACACGAATTGAATTTAAAAGTAAACAATACAATCTACTAAACACATGTGTATAGAATATGGCAACCCTTATTAGATGTCAGAGCTCCTCTATCTTATTATGCGATTAACAATAATAACAACAACAAACACACACAGTACAACACAAACAGAAACAGAGTTTTAAATTGTTTATTTTTTAAGTCTGTTTTACTCTCTTGTTTCTAATAAATATGTATGTATTTAGGTATATATGTATGTAGCTATGTATGTGTATGTAGGTAGGTAGATAAGTATCATTATTATGTACTCTATGTATTGCTTTTGTTGTATTTATGAACATTTATTTTCAATTCTTTTTCTATGCTACTTCTATACATTTTTATATTTCTTTTTTTGTATGAGAATTTCCCTTTCATTTAAAAAATGAAAACAAGTTTACATAATTCTATTTTAATAACAAAATATACACAGTGAGAAAATATACAATTAAACACTAATGTTGTATATTTTTTGAGAATTTGTAGTTTAGAATCTTCCTTGGGGTCATTTAAAATAACATAAAGTGTTAAAAATTTGACTTTCAACTTTATTTTTACATGTAGAGCCTTTCTTAATATTGCATTTATACTACAGTACTGTGTA